GTACCCAAGGGGAAGGGTGGTTCCCTTGCCAAAGCCAACGTAGACATTGGCGATATCGTCGAGCAAGAGATGTTGAGTTGCTTGGTCATTGATTTGTTGGACTTGCTGCGCCCTCAGCATCTCTTGAGCGATACGCTCCCTCTCTGCTTGTTGCCTTTGCATCTCTTCGATTTCGCGCTGTTGCTGCATCTCGGCTTCGCGTCTTCTTTGTTCGTCAGCCAGACGCTGAGCCTCGAGAGCCTTTTGCTTGTCTTCATACTCCTTAAGCATAGCGGCTTGTTCCCGGATCATGGCTGCATCAGGGGATGGGGCGGTCGGGGGAGGTGTGGGTGACTTGGTTTTTTCTGTTGGCCGCTTGGGGAGATCTGGAGTTTGGCCATTATCGAGCAAGCTTGGCGGCTCTTGGCCTAGTTTTGGAACGTTGATTAAACCAGTGAGATATTTGAGGTTGGAACATTCGAAGTAAAATTTGCGTAAAGCGTGATGTTGTGAATTGTATCGAGACCTCAAGGGTTCGAGTGCTTCATGATCACTAGTACGTCTGTGCATAGCCCGCAGCATGCTCGTAATAAATCGATAGATATTGTAACTTTCTTTGACCAAAGGAACCAATGCTGAGATGCGGCATTCGTTATTAGCGGAATGCCTGAAATGAGCGAAAATGAGTTTTTGGAGTTGCTCAATCTGGTCTTGCAGGTCCATGAGATCGGAGATAGTTCCATATCTGCGGGGTCTTGTTGTGAGCATAGAATGCAGAGACTTTAGTACCAAATATCGCACCCTTCATCAGGATTGTCGATGCCTTTCAAACTGATGTACTCCTCATACTCGAACAATCCGTTGAACTCGGGACGGTGGCGGTGGAAACGTAATTTCGAGAGAATGAAGGCAACGTATGCCCTGATAAGCTGCCCATAGCCTGTTATATTCGTCAGCGGATATGTCATACGATTACGGAGTATGAACCTTTTACACCGTCATTGGCGACTGTCCTAGCGCAGGTTTCGAACCATCCAACTTGTTGCTGCGCATCTTTCAACGTCTAAAGTTGAAATGAGCTAATATGCAATCTTTGAGCAATATGACCTACTGCAGGATAGCCCTCTTGCAGGACCTTGTGTACAGTGATGAGCGCCTTGAATGTTTGAACTTCGTCTGCTAGAATCGGTTGAACCTTCAAGCCGGTCCAGATGGAAGCAGAGGTATGATAGTCCCATGTATACACGATACATTCTGGCAGGTGGTTAGCAAGAGCGTCTTGATCGTGAGTGAGCTACTCCGTACTTCGGACGTGTTTCTGTTTTGGTGCCGTCTCTTCTGGGCTTGTGGCTTTTTTGATATTTAACATAAGCTCCGCTTCAGCCTTGTCTCTATCCACAGGTCGTGTTGGAAGGTGATGCTGTCTCTCCGTTAGCGATTCTCAAACCAATTTGGTAGATGCATACATCAGACTCATAGTCGCCATGTCGCGCTCTACTCCTAGAATAATGGTCATTACGAATTGCAAGATTCATGAGTGGAGGGTTTACATGTCGTTAGGGGTATCGCGTTCGGTGAAGGTTGGGTGCAAGTTGGTACTTCCACTTGGAACTAAGCCGCAGCCAAATATTACGCGTGTCAGAGAGTATGAGCCACGGAAATCAGGGGGCTGGATTAATCAGTAAGAAATGATAGCATTATATCGCAAATCCAGATACAAAAAGCTACGCAAGGCCTTCATCTACCCTCAAGTCACTGCGCATCACAGCTGCCAACGAGCGCGGTTCCATAACCCATAAAGACCATCCTTCCGAGTCTTCGACTGAATCTACACTCTCATGTGCATCATTTACAGCGGAAGGTAATGCAAATCCTCGCATTTCGCGCAGCACCAAGCGTACGCTCGTTTTATTTGAGGTTAGCGTAACCATTTTCTGAGATGCGCCCCAAAGGAGAGACTGTATTGTGTGCGCAGAAAGTCGCGCAGCAAATCTTGTGGGCGCGGGTAGCTTCTTGTTTGGGTCATCGTTTTTGGCATCTGGTCGAACGGGGCGGGAAAGGATTGTTATACACGTGGTTATTAACATTTGGTTGAAGGTTTTGTCTTGTATATGTGGTGATATAGATATATCAGGTTTTTCAGAGGGAAAAATGTTGATGGGGATGAAAGGAGGGCGACCTCCCGGCTGTATACGAGAGTTCCTCCAAAAGTCTTCAGAGGCATTGGGGTTGGTGGAAAAGAGCGCATGGGCTCTGGTCACTTCATCCGCCCCTCCTATCTTGTCTATGATCGCTAGGAACCGTTCCTTTGCCTCGGCCGTGGTCCAGAATTGAACATGTGCCAGATTAGCTATTCGTCCGTGTATTCTTTCAATAAGACCACGATTCATCTCATCAATGGTCTGTTCAGCCAAGGCTCGACAGTGCTCGTCAGCATCCTGTGTACTGAGAGGATCCTTTTCGAAGCGTCTTTTCCATGAACGGTCGGTTTGAGGTTGAAATCGTTTATAAGAATCTTCAGGTGTAGTAGGAAGCACTGCATGAGTTATATCGGTTACAAGCGCAATAAGCAATGAGAGGTCCAGATTAATGTTATTGGGTAGGTCAAATTGTGGCGTGGGGGCGGGAGAAACTGGAAGAGAGTGATTCGGTCCTAACTGAAGGCGTATACCTAGGTCCCGTAGACAGTCCAATGTGTATATAATTCTTTCATCAACGATCTCCGCCCCTGAGGCAGAGGTTAGACGAGTCAGACGCAGATAGATCGATGGTGTAAGTCCAGTCTGTCGTGCATGTTCCTGAGAAGCCAAGGCAAGTAGTCTTCCCGTCTGATACACTGTATTTTCCAAGTATTTTTCGAGGGGAAGACCTCCTTTTTCCTTGGTTGAAGTACTCCTACTTTCATGTGCACCTTCGTTTTCCTCATCAGATGATTCGTACCCAAAAGCTTCGATTCCTCGAAATTCCGCTGATAATCGAGATTCTTTCGTCCTGTAACTCCCACATCGATTGAAGAGTCAATGAGAAGAGGGGTCATAATGGGGTCCTCAAAAGAGAGCTCTCACGTGTTGACTCGAATCCAGTCATGGCCGTTGTTTGCTATGATGTCCACTTTGACTTTCGTGCTCGTAGAATGCTTGCCGTTCACCGGATCATCAACACTTGCGGTGTCAAAAGTCTTCCATAACGCCAGTATTGGACGGCGTGCGGACAAAATTTCATCCCATAGGGATAAATAATAAGGGGAGTTGGTAGATAGCGGTTTGTCCGCATCTAGGTTGAGGTGCTAATAAATGTGTGAGTAATTGGATGAAGTGGTGATGTTTGGTCACTCACTGTCTCGATAGTTTCGATTTCCTTCTGAATTGACATTCTCAAATGTCTCAAACCCGGCAAGTCGTTGTCCTGGATGTCGACCACATCCTCGTCCTTCGTCTCATCTATGATAGGCAAAGACTGCCAAAAGGATTTTGATCTTGTAGCAATCAGTATCTCTTGGAGTCTTTCGAGCTGTTCGTTTAGCGAGAAATCCATTTATACAATTTATGGTCGAGAGTAACTTGGCCTCAACCCTGTCCTTTCCATTTGCATCCGACTCTCTCAATGTCGTTCTCCTAATTTTAATAACTAAATAATTACACCCTCAGATATTGTTGTTCTATTCGTTAACGACTTCAAGATATACTGTAGCAAATCGTCCCACCTTGCCTTGGCTAGACTATCACATTAAACTAAAGAAATAGTAAGTCTCCAGGTTCTGTCTGTTCGAGTGCTCATATGAATTGATCTGATATCAATATGTATCTCCCTTTATATAATTCGTTCGCCTAGAAAATATGAACCGATTCCCTCAGCCGGTACTCCAAGTTCGTGATCCAAGGAATTTATCTAGCCGTTCCGAACTCAACGAGCTCAAGAAATTCCTTGGGACAACTCAACCCCAAACGGACTTAAACCTTGTCAATGAGGTCACCCGAAAGCCTGTAAGGAAGAAGAGTATATTCGGCATTGGAAGGAAGGAGATAGACCTCATGAAACCAACTGGAGAGATTAAGTCAACATCTAATGTCATTTCGGATAAATTGACGACTCGTAGACTTGTCAATGGGTGAGTTGTTGTTCGCAGGGTACCCGCCAACTCGAGCTTACAAATTGTCCATCGGAGCAGTCACACTGTGATAATGATTGGTCCTCCAGTACCTCCCTTACCCGTCTCGAGGAGGGAGATCATGTATCCTTTATCCCCATCGTCGAGCGCGTCTGATTTCTATGTCACTCCAACGAGCGGAAAGCCAACCCATCCAAAGCGCTCCTTTTCATACCTAGAAAGTGTTCCTCAGGCTATTTCACTCGATTCACAACTTTCCTCATCAGCCCAAGGCTTTCGCCCGAGCCTATTGAGAGGTCACTCTGAGCAGTCAACTTTCAATACGACATGGAATCCTTTAAATACCCGCGAATCAAACTCACCTCCATTAACTCGTGTCATCAAAAGGAAGGATGAACTCGGTACCGACCTCATATCCTTACCGCCCATTGCTACGGCGCAAGAAGCAAACTCAAAGCCTATGCCTCCCGATGACAGAACCACTGTCCACGCCATCACTATAGTGGGTACGACTCACGACCGTTCACTCTCAGTGTCAATGTCGAGTCAACCAAACTGTAGCCGACTGTCGCAAAGCTCTGCGACACAAGACCATACCTCAAGCGTTGTACAGGCTTGCCTGATCACAAGAGAAAAGGTGGACGCGTCTGTTCAGACAGATCCTATCGAGGTTCCTCAGCCCTTAACATCACAACACGCAAGCTTCAGAGCCAGAGAATCATTTTGTCCACCTACCCCTCCAATAAGCTCTGAATCTTTGCCAAACCCGCTCGAAAAAGTCTGTGTTTGTCGCCCTCCGAGTATGCACAAGACAAAACGACGCAAAAGGCGAAAAACGATAGCGGAGTCTACGCTACACAATACACCGCTTCCAATCCTCAGTTCCTCAAACGAACTCTCAGAGATAACTGAATTGGAAGAGATGGTGAACAAGGATAAAGCCTTTGGACAACTTCTCGCCATTTACAAACATCAAAAATATCTCAGAGATGCAGAAGAGGGCCTGAACCAGCAAAAAGTAGCCGATCTTACCGCTAGTATCATCAGCCATAAAATGGAAAACTTAAGGCTTCTAGAAATGCTTCATGGAAAAGGTATTTCGTTGCAAGACATCCAGGAGGGTGCCACGGTTGCTCACGAACTCTACCTTTCTCCACAAGAACAACCCCTCGACCCCTCGGATATGCACAGTTCCGAACTCGATATATCTCGTTTTACGATGCTAAGGAAGGTGGATCAGCTTGGACGAATGCGGCAATTCCGCCATCCACAAGATGATCTTGAATCACCACTTTCCCAGAGTTGGAAAAACGAGATGATATATAATAACGATGAAATCAGGGACACAAGGTCTGAGAGAGGCTGTTTAAACAACTCTAATATGTCAAATTCCCCCGGCCCTCCTGATACCTCCCAACCACCTATCGCAGGAGACTCGCTTTGCGATCCCTATTCACATGCGGATGACATCGACCAGAAGATGAAAAGTCTAGAAATAGCGTTTATATCTTCGCAAAGCAGAGGGAGCAGTTTATCGACCATAAGCATCAATGCCAATCCTCCGACAATGGTACACGATGACTCAATGAATTCCAGAAACACGGAAGCAGATATTCACCGGTCCGTATCTGAACGTGATGGAATTTCTCCCAATCCGAATCCCCTGTCCGGTTTCCTACATAACCCTAGTATTTCCTTCTGGTCAACGCCAGGAACTGAATGCCAGACCAAAAATATACTACAGAATGGCCTTCATAATACGGGAAGCACTTCACATCTTCGGACTAGGTCTGAGTCCGATATTGAGCATCTGCTTTCCCGGGCGACTGACAAGTCAGGAAACCCATACAGGGAAACGGATAGTTGTGCCGGAGACAACTATTCACCTGACACAGTCAAGAAATCTGGGGACCTTGGTTTTGTCTCATTTGCCATGAACAACTCTTGGGGTTCACTGCTAGGAGAATTGATGCATTATTCTGGTGGAAACTTACAACAACCCGTCACTCAAGATTTTGAGAGGGGACTTGGACTACACCAGGGATGATTTATATTCCCGCAAGTTCACTCTTCAAGGGTGAACCCGTCGAAATGCGACCTCCCCAATTTCAAGCGGACCACAATGCAGTATCAATCCATCATAGTTCATTTCATGAGTCCGGAGCAGCTACAACTCATCGCTAATGTGGCCTTTATCTCCACATCATTCTTTTCCACGTTGTAATGTTCCACCTGCTCGTGTATACATAATTTTCTATAATAAATACACTTGAGCTGATAAACCGTGTCGTAATATTATGTCTGGCCCCTTTTCTGAAATTAAGGAGGAGGTCAAGCGATCTTTGGAACTTAGACTTCAGAATGTAATCGTGCATATAAGACTTATGCTCACAAGTAGTTTGAATATCTACCAGCCAGAGAGGTATAGAGAGGTCTATATCTAGGCTTTTCGAGATGACACAGCTTCCTGTGCAGCAGCAGCCAACTGGTCCTCTATTGATTCTCCACCTTTCTCTAGGCCTCTTATTTCCTATCCACGAATAGTAATACGAGATTAGTATGATGATGAAATCGCAAGTAAGAGTCTCACCCTTTCATGTTTCTCCCAAGCCTTGCAATTCAAATTTTATGTTCAACATGAATCGCCAGTAAGACCCAGTTCCATTTCTAAAAGCAAGATCTCACCTCTTCAAAGGTTTTAGTCTTTGGAAGGTACAAGAAATTGTAAATACGGACCTTTACTACGTTGCATAATGTTCGTATGAGCCGACCACGCTAAATATCCGCCATAAAATGTCACTCCAACACAACCAGTGACAAATGTCCGATGGAGGATATCAATAATAGAAAGTCTTGCGGGTGGCATGTAGAATACGGATATTGCTTTCGAGGTAGGGTGCAAGTTCTCAATGGGTCTGGTCCGGTCGAGCCTTGCCGGCTTCCTTCGATCTTTTCTGTATCATTCTTGTCATCGAAAAATAGTGATAATTTATTTCTGAGTAGGTAGGGTGCTTCTTAAGAACGTAACGCCTGTATATTCGTGACTATGCTTGGAGGACGGATGGCTAGATACAGGAAAACATCGAACGGCGGGGATACTCGGACTAGCGATTGTACCAATACAGCATAGATAAACACGAGCTTCTTTTACATTAATAGATGTCTTTAATGTATATTTATTTGGGGGGTTCGGGTCCATAACAAAGGAGAGTGGGAATGTATTTGATGGAAAGGAGCGAAGATAACTTTCGGGTTTCTGGATAGGAGTTCTTGGGGTTCACAGAGAGATCAGCGATTCGAGGTTGCCTTGAAGGAAAGGTGTGAGCGAGACTACTTTCTCCATATTCGGGATGTGCTTTATCAAGGCGAAGATTACCGGCATGAGGGCTACTATGTAGAGAATCTCTTTGCCTGCTGCCAATATGATGAGCAAAATGAGAGAGATGCCGGCGCTAATGAAGAGGTTATTGAAGGGATCGGCGATGCTGACGGTAGACGGTGACTGGGAAGTTTCAGACTGTTGGCAGTCGGTGTGGTTTGAGATCTTGCTCATTATATCGTCTGGGAAGGCGAGGTAGTTCGGTCTGGGAGTACGATTGACTTTGGTGGTCGCCGTAGTGAAGGAGCGATCGTCAGAGTATACGGACCCTGGAGCGTTCGATTTACGATTCGCCTTGCGGGGAGGTTGCGATGCTCGCTTTAATGGGCGCCCATCGGGACGTCTAGGGAACTGATGTCGACCAACAAAGCGGGTGGTATCGAAATGGACGTTCATCTGAGGGGGAGCGATTGAGGTGTCGCTGAGACTTCTGCCATGTGTAACGAAGAGACGACCACCACCATTTCTTGGTCCCGTTGGTAGATAGGACTCGTCAGAGCCCCCTCGCCTGGGGAACGTTGGAGATATCAGCGTGGCATTGTCGGTTGTAAACCCTCGGCCGGAAGAGTACTGGCCATACCCAGCGGACGACATAGAGGGTCTGATGATTTCATCGGAAAAACGGTGTTCCTCTGACGAGCCCGGCGTCACAGCGCCTAGGTTGATGCACCGATTGGCACGAGAGATGTCTAGGACCAGCTGGTTAGACATGGCAGTCCGGCGAGCATTCTCTCGAGTGGATGCAACAGTGGATATTTCAGTAGCGGCCCAGGAAGCTACTTCCGAATAGCGGTGAGAAGGTGTCGCATTCGAAATTGCGCGAGGCCGTCTTGGCTGGCTGCCAGGGAGAGCCATTGAAATCTTCTTCAATACAGATATCTTCTCTCCTCCGCGGTTGTCTTCGTAGTGATTTGGATTGTAGTGATAAGGGTTGGTTTGAGGACCGTAGGGTAGGATGGTACTAGTTCTCTTCTTGAAGAGAGTGGTGATCCCGCCGCGTGGGTTTGGTTGCTGCTGATAGGAAGTTATTAGGATCACGTGTGGCTATGTACGAATAATACTTACAGAAGTCATAGTGTGTTTGAGAGGCGCTGGAATCGTCTATAGAGCTTGAATATCAGTAGGCCAAGGAGAAGATAAAAAGGAGTGTGATTGGAACCAAAGTCGAACAGGATACCGAGCTTACGAGTACCAGATATTTATGTGTCTCTACTGGCCCAAGGTGAACCAGACTGAGTGAGTTTTTTTGACACCTCCGTGACAGAGAGCAGGGACATCACCCGACGTGTCATACAGTCGGTTGCTTTTTGGGAACCGGATTTTTGCTCATCACCTGTTTCAAACAAGGAACAATATTAGAATCAGGTTTGATGGTCCTTCTGGATTGTAAATAGTGGAGCTAGCAACAGACGGCCAACGCGACTAGAACCTCACAGCGCAACGAAGCCGAACAAGAAGCTAATACGGGCTTCTAATATGCTAGGGTTAGACTATTTGAACCACCGCTTCACATGGTTGTGGCTTGTGTGAACCATATTTGGGATGATCCGTTATAGGACCCGTTTCTCCATCATTCGGACGCCAATAGTTCAGCTGTAATTAATAAATGAGAAGTGGCGTGAAAGGCAAATTTGAGTCGGACGGGGGATCCCTGTTTATTGCATCGATGAGGCCAGCTCTAAAACACAATTCTGACAAGTGACCGCTCGGACGCGCAAGGTATGCCATTGTTCTTTGTGATACAGGGCACATATCCAGTTCAATATATCATTCGCCACGGTTATCCTTCTCTACTCGCTACACTCCCCTCAGCCCCTGCCTGTTGTTTAATTCCTATGTCAAGCCACAACGTCAAAGCCGTAAACCTTTAACCCCCACCTATTCTACCGGCAAGCGGAAACCCCTCTGATCAGAGGTCCCTAAAAGGATACATGCGGTTCAATATCCGCAGGCATGCGGTTTATGAGCCAACATCTGAACCGCCGCGCCCTCCCCGTCCCCTTCCTCTTCCTCTTCCCCTATAGAAAGGTCTTCTTCCGCGATCACCTCCGCGGGTAGATGATGACGATTGTTTTTGAGAACCGTCTTCACTTGCATCGACTGCTTCACTCTTCTCTGGCGCCTGTGAAGGCGTCACCGGTGTTGGGTTCGCTGCCGGCGGGACAGCGGGAGCCGTCGTTGACGTATTGGCAGAAGGCAGAGCCTGTGGCTGCGTGTCGGCGTTCTTTTCAGTAGTAGACGTGGTCCGTGAGCCCCCTCTGGCAGGAGGGTTGGTCGAGCCTTCTGCGATTATCTTGGTCAGGATTTTCGGTACGACAACAACACCACCGCGTCCTCTTCCCCTTCCACGACCAGAGTCGCGTGGCTCGTTCTTCCCAGATGTGTCCCTCGGCTCCGCATCATCATTGTTCTTATCAGATTTGCTCGGCCCGTCCGAAGCAGGAATGTGTCCTCGCTTCTTTTTGCCACTCGTAGAAGGCTTTGTGGGCGTGTTGTCTACTTTATTTTCATTTGCTTGTTCGGAGGTGGCGACATTCTTTACATCTCCTTCGCTGACCACTCTCTTGCCGCCTTTGCCCTTTGGATTCTTGGCGGGAGAAGTTGGCTGCTGTGACGGTGCCGTGGACCTTCCCTTACCCCTTCCTTTGCCAGGTATATCTTGTGCTTGACTTGGAGGGCTCTTCGGGGCCGTTGGTGACTGAGGAGCCTTGGCTGGCGTTTTCGAGGATTCGGCTTTGTTAGCCGTCAACAGTGTCACTGGGCCGCTGGGTACGATTGGTTGAGCTCGTGAAAAGTGAATATCATCTGCCGCTTTACTCGATTTGGACTGCTGTGCATGTGCTTGCTTTTGCTTATGTGCCTTCCCTCCACCGGATCCTGCCTTGCTATGAATCAACGCTTCTAAAAGTGGCGTAGATTCAGATTTAGAAGCATCTAGTCAAACATTTAGTGTGATTTGGGTGACACTTTGAACAAGAGGGTATACCATTAAGGACGGTGGCGGGAGCTTTGTCTTTGCTCGGAGTTTCGCCTTTCTCAATTAAAGATACAAAGCTCTTGTAATCTTCGTCATCTTCAATAGTACCTTGACGTGCGTCGGCTTTCTGGTTGGCCGAAGGCAACTTTTGTGAAGGCGCAAACTCCACCACGGCAGAATACTCGTTGCCTAATGTAGATTTCAGCATTTTTCAACCAAGTTTGAAATATCTCTAACCTTGTTTATCCCGAAACAGGTGACCGTCATAGTTCTGGCTAAATGTGGCGAGTTCTTCTGCAGTCCGAAAGGCAATGTATGCACGAGACATGATATTTCCTGTGCCTTGTCCCCTAAGAATGCGATATGTGGGTCGTTAGTTACTTGCAGATGGACTAATAAATGGACTGCCCACCCTGCCTTGGTTCGGCCGGGCCTGTACCAGCGTTCTTTGACAGTGTTATCATTAACCCATAACTCACAGCTCCTCCAAAAGATCTCTTCAGGAAGATTGGGGGGTAGCTTGCGAACGACAGCTTTGATTCTTTGGACGCTCGAGGTAGACGCCTTGGGTTTGTTCTTTTTGGATGGTGTCGACATATTCTGGTACACAAAAGATTGACTTGATTTATAATAAGTAATAAGTCGATCAGATGGGTGTCCTGGTGTATCGAAGTCAGGAACAAGTGGTGTTTCGTCGACTTATCCTCCACCACTCATAACTGCATTGTGCATAATTAATCTCATCTCGTCGTCCTGGTCTTAGCTTGACATTATGAATCCTTCAAAGATCTGCTCGGCAGCCATTAATGCTGTGACGAAGCAGAAACATGCACAACATTTGTTCAAGCGTTCTCAAACCGGCATTTTCCATGGTAGAGCAATCATGTTTGGAAAAAATGTTCCGGAGATGGGTCACAGGACCCCAAGAACCTGGATGCCGAATATTCGAGCTCGTAGACTCAAGTCGGATATTTTGGATCGGTACGTTGGCAAAATTACCATACCGCCTTTTTCGTCCATAACCTTCTATGATGCAATAAATTAAAAATTGAATACTAATATCTTCACATAGAACAATGAGATGGAATGTCACGACTAGGGCAATGAGGACCATTAACAAGTATGGCTCTCTGGACAAGTATTTACTGAACACGCGGACGAAATGGCTAGGAGAAAGAGCTATGTGGTTACGTTGTCGACTGAGGGATGAATTAAACGATGCCGATGCTGCCCAAGCCGAGACTGAAACAAGGCGATCAAAGACGGAACTTGAACAAGCTAGCGAAAAGCTCATTCTAAGCATGCCGGTAAGTTGGAAAGTTTGTCAAGTTTCGTTGACTCACACCTTCTCAACTAGAAATCGGTTCGAGGTAAACCTGCTCAACCGAGAGATTAATGTTACGGATGCTCGAGTAATTTAGAGGACATTCGAGCACTATCTATAAGCGTCATGTCGAGTATCTATTGCTTATCATAGCGAAACTTTGCCATAATTCGAATATTTGCTGTATTGCAAGACATGGAAACTGAACCATCCATTAAAGTTGACACAGTTGTTACTCGAGCATGATAAATGTCCATCATATCATCCATCAAAGGCCTTGAATTCAGATCTTTGAATAACGGTGGTCTATCTTAGAGTCTTCCTGGAGTGCTGGATTCCGAGGCATACTTGGCCATCTCGTTTTCCTTCTTCTTGAAACCGCATTTCTCATAGAATGCTATACGACCGTCAGAGATGTCAATGGAAGAAAAAAGATGAGAATACTAACGGATATTCTCGTCCGAACAATTGAGGATGGTCTTGTAGCAGCCGACAGCCTCGCTGATGGCGACAAGCGTCTGGATGACTCTCAAGCCCAACTTTTTCCCTTGCATATCCTTGCTAACAGCAATATCTTCAATATGCCCTACACTACCCAACCCCCGGAGGAACTTGCGTTCAATAAAGACCGTGCCAGTAGCGACCACCTTGTCAGTCTCGCGAGAAACGATCGAGATGACATAGTAAGTCTGGCCCCTCGATGACCTGTACGAAGTATTGGCGGGCAACATGCTCTCAAAGTGCTGTTTGTAGGCCTCCAGACCGGGATCGGTCACGACGGACAGCACCTTGAGGACTTCAAGGTGACCTCGGTTGTAATCGTCAGAGGCCAGCGGGCGAACCTATGAGTTCCGTCAACCGGCGGTAGAAATGTCCGAGATCGATATTATTGTTAATTGTAGGGCGGAAATGCATAAAGGTCCATGTTAGTGCACCATAAGCTACGGATACGAAGTTCTTACATGGAGGTCGCTGGGCAAAGCCTCTCGAACATTGTTTGGAATTAGGTCAGACGGGAACAATAATTTGAGTTGTGAATCTGGGGTGAAAGGCATGCTGGAGGTGGTAATCGTCGATGGTGGTCGTGTCTAAGTGTGGTCGTTGAATAAATGCCGGACTGTTATGTGTTTGGAGAATTGAGGTGGCGCGGAGCAGACTAGGGCGCAACAGCATTGGCTGAGTTCATAGCCTATCGTAAATGCGACGGACGGAAATCACGCGGAATGTACAGGGAAATGTTTCGTATCAATTTAGAGCAACTGCATAATGCATAGATTTTGATTTCATGATAGTGTATGGCGAAATCGCATACATTGCATACTCTACATGATGGCGTACGAACGTGAATGCGAGGTGAAATGGGGACGGGGTAGCTGAGGAAAGAAAAGGCCATCATACAACGATTAATAACGAGCGCTCTTGTTTCCACCTCCTCCAGCTCCCTTTGCCTGCTGTTTCGAAATC